GTGTGTGTGTGTGTGTGTGTACACGTACACAGGTACGTACGTATGTACGTACTGTCTGGAGACTGGTGCAGGGATGGGTGGTGGGAGGAAAGGTCTTGCGCGGGCCCTGGCCACAGGCCCCATTGGGAAGGCCCTGGAGAGAGTCATTGGGCTCCTGCTGCGAATCTTTCACAAAGGGCCTCCCAGATGCGGACCCCCACCTGATGGGCTTGGCAGATGGCAGCTGTCCGGGGCTGCTCGAACTGCCTCCCCTCAACATCAGCCTGTCTCCCCCACTCTGGGAGGAAGGCCTCCCCTTTGCTGTTCACCAGGTTGTGGAGCATGCAACACGCAGGCACCACCTCGGGGATATTGCATTCCCCCATGTCGAGGCGAGTGAGCAGGCACGTAAACCTTCCCTTCACCCGGCCAAAGGCGCATTCAATCTGCAAGCGTTAAATTGATCCCTGCTCGTGTTTAGATGCCCAGTGTACAGCTTCATGAGCCAGGCATAAGGGGGGTACACTGCATCAGCCACAATGCAGATTGGCATCTCCATGTCCCCAACAGCAAAGTTTCGCTGTGGGAAGAATGTTCCAGCCTGTGGTAAAGGTAGGAATTTCTGAAGATCTGGGCATCATATGCCCAGCTCTACCACGCCACACAAATGTCAGTGAATTGTCCATGATGGTCAACCAGGGCCTGTAGCACCATGGAGAAGTAGCCTTTTCTGTTGATGTACTAGGCTGCTCGATGGGGCAGTGCATGGATTGGGATGTGAGTTCCATCGAGCGCTCCTCTACAGTTTGGGAATCTCAGCCCAGCAAAGCTGGCCATGATGGTGTCCAGGTCTCCGAGGCAGACAATCCTGTTCAGCAGCTCCGAGTTGAAGGCTCTCATCACCTGCAGAAATAGACACATACAAACACATAGAATAGGGAGTTAGAGGGGTTGCCTGAGTCCTTGGGAGGTGCCTCCCATCCTTTTTCCCCCCCCGCCTGACCCCAGGAATTCTCCCACCCTTCAGGCAGCTCCTCCCAGTAGTAGGGCAGGGTGCGGCCAGGAGCCCTCCCCCACTCCCACTCCATTGCCCCCCTTCCAGGGGGATGGCGGGCCACAGGTGGGTGTCCTGTCGTTGCAGGGCAGAGGTGAGCCAGGTACAGAGCTCCTGGAATGTGGCCTTATGCATCCTGAAGTTTCAGAGCCAAGCCTGGTCGTCCCACCGCTCCATAACAAGCCGGTCCCACCAGTCTGACTTGTCTCCAGCCTCCAAAATTGCCTCTCGTGGAAGAGGTTTGGTGGCAAGAACAGTGTTTCTGGAGCCCGAATAAGGGACTCAAGGCTGGGTTCAGAATCCAGACCTGGCATGAACATTGTGAAGGTCTCATGGAGTTGCAGCAGAACTTGAAGCATTACAGTGTGGGGCCATCGCCTGCCCAGGGGCAGCTCCAGTTCCATGGCAAAAAAAGGATTGTAAAGCACAAATCCTAATAAAACAACCACACTGCTGTGGTGTCCCAGAAAGCAGGGCACTCAAAGCAAGCACTGCAGAAACTTTGCTGTCCCTCTAGAGCAGTGGTCCCCAACCTTTCGAGGTTGTTGGGCGCCAGAGGGGGTGGCCGTTTGCCCGCCAGGGGGCGGGGACACTTGCGCCCCGGGGGCGGCCCCCCCCCATAGCCACATGCCCGGGGGCGGCCCCCCCCATAGCTGCATGCCCGGGGCCGGCGCTCCCCCCGCCATGCGCCCGGTGCCAGGCCAGCCCCGAGCACCTGGCGGGTGCATGGAAATGCCCCCGCGGGGGCCCGCGCTCCCCCGCGCGGCCC